CAGCAGGCAGCAGCAGGCAGCAGGCAGCAGGCAGCAGCACCCGTGCTACAGCAGTACCACACATCGTACTTGCCCAACCGGACGCGCAGCTTACCTCTGGGTTATTAGCAGCCGGGTTGGTGGTGGCAGAAGAACGTGTCCTCAATCCCTCATGCGAACCCTGGATGGCGGCGATGACGGGGCAGGACATAACCCTGTCTGCCCCGCAACCCCCGCTTCCGCCGCCTTGTGGTATGCCGTTCTTCCGAGCTGCGTTTCGCTTGCCCGCCATGATGGCGTCAGCCTTTTCGCGGGCCAAGTTGGACAAAACCACTTCGCTAGCCTCGCAGTAGCCTGTGTTCTCCGCGGCTTTTCTGCCCTTCCTCTTGCTGTCCAACAAGGTGGTGCGAAGCTTGATTCCTCGTTCGTGTGGGGACCACTTGTGGATAACCTCGTATCTTGTTTGGCCAGCATACATGATGCGTGTACATTCGCCAGCGGCAGTCACCGCTGGGCCCTGGCCGCGCAGCATTTTCAAGCCCGCTTCCCACCACCACTTTTTGTCTGACCAACTTTCTGAGTGGCTCTACCCCCCCTAATTCGACCAAGCGGAATCGATTGGCGACGATTCCCGTGGCGAAAAAGTTCGGCAATGCGGCGAAAAAAAAAGTTCGGGCTGAAGGGGAACTTTTTTTTTTTGGGAACTTTTTTTAAACGTCGTTTTTGGGCGTTTGAGAACGATCTGCGAAGTCAATTTTTTTTTTTTTTCTTCTCCGAGGTGGGAAAGGTGATTCGTCTTTAGCTCGGAACCCGCCCCCTATAAAAATGCCCTCTCGATAATCGAGGGGCCATTTGACGGGGCTTCCAGCCTCAACTGCGAAACGGCTCAGGTGGGCAGGTCTTTCCGCACCATCCAATCAGCAGGCGGTTCTCTGTTGTCCCCATTTCAGATTTTTTTCCACGGGAACGAACAGAGTTTTTAGGTTTCGGGTAGGGTTTCGGGAGTATCACGGAGTTCACACAAGTATCGAGTACTTGTAGGGTATTTAAGGTGTCACAGCAGACCTCTTACTTACGTAAAAAATAGGGCCTGTGAGCAATGCAGAACGCTACAAGAAAATGCTTTCTGTCGGGTTCTGTACCACTTCCGGTACCCTTCAGAGTACACTTCCGTCAGATAGTTCTGTCCAACGAAATGAGGTCACCAACCGGTAGAAATTTCGTAACAGCACCGAATGTTCCGTGCGTCCTACAAGGTTTGGCCCTGCCTTGTGGCTTATTTCGTTTCGGAGAGGCGCGGTCTGCAGGCACATTATCGTTTTGCCTCTCGCGAGCAACAATCGAAGGTCTACGCCCACTCACACATGAAAGCCCCTATACGCTACACGACGCCGACACGTTGAACGGCTGTGTCCGGATGTGTGTTATATTGGTACGCCGCAAGTTGTTGTGTAGACGCGCCGGCGTACCAATATGGTACGCCCCAAGTTGTGCCAGCAGCAGCAGCTGTGCCACGTTGGATGCATCAATCTGAACTGCGGCGACCAACGCTATCGACGACAACCAGCAGCCAATATCCAACACCTCAAAACAAACGACGGCCACCGACGTCGATGATGGTGGATGGCGCGTGAGACAGGTTTGATCATGACTAAACACGCCTGTGACCTCTTCTGAGTCTCGACACCCAGACAAAACCACATGTGAAAGATATGCTCATTGTCGAACATTGACGGATAGAAGGGCCAGAGCTCCGCGTTCGCACTTGAGGTCCAACAACAGAAGAAAGCATCAGGACTATTCCACACACGGCACCACACACTGGGGCGCGGCGTCGGCAAGCCAATATCATTACATGGGCGAACAGCAGACAGGCAATACGATACTTCACGTGCAGGTTGACCGAAAAGCCGGCGCAATTGGCGGCGACGCGACTAGGAATGACACCTGCACGTACGTCACCCCCTGGATTGCGCGTCTGGTTCGTAACTGACCAGTTGACCACGCTCTCTCGCTGTAGCACGAGCGCCAACTGCTGCGGAGCCATGCCTATCTCCAGAGACAGTCCAACACCATCATGGCTTGTGCAGGTGAAAATAAACTCTAGTGCGAAATTCGCCAAACTAGCGCTAGAAAGAATCGAGACACATGCAGACGATGCTTGCAACGGCGAGATGTGTCGTCGATTTCATTCCTTGTTTGCCTCTTCGCGCACATGCCCATTTTCCATGGTTTCCGCTGCACCTCTCCCCTCGTTGACGTGCTTCGACTGTAGTAGTTGAGGCGGCTTTGGCCTTGTGATTTGGCCAGAGTGTCCACGTACGACAAGCGAAAAGGGAATGACTCTACTTTCGATGGATCCACAGCTGCGCGGCTATTCAACTTGACAGCCTAAAACTTTCGTATATCGGTACTGCTGCCGCCACATCTGCAACCTTGGCATGTATAGCTGAAGACATCGCCTCTCGTCCTGTTTTGGCTTCCCTCCCGTTCACACGTATTCCTCGGGAGAGATGCTTGGTTACCGCTGTACTATTGTTTGTGTTTGCATGTTGAATGATGAACTGGAAACTGGACAAAGGAACAAGGCCATTTGCCGAAGTTTTTCCGCATCGTAGAAACCCCACATACATCTCCCCAGGCGGCACATGAGGCACGAACGGAACCTCAAGGCCTCAAGGTGAATCTCCATGAGGGGTACACAACCTTCTGTGAAGGGCTCGGTGGCTTCAGATGCCGTGGTCTTGCGTTGTTTCGAAGGCAACCGGATATTCTGGGGGTATCCGTGTCTAATGCTGTACATGAAAACCCCCCCCCTGTGGGGTATCTTCTATTTTCTAGAATCCCCCACCGGTGGGGGATTATTGTAATTCTACTACTGTACAGCAGTAGTGTCTACACAACCCACCAGCTGTATCTCGCCCAACATACAAGGCACCAATCGACGAAGGACGTGCACAACTGCGTTTCTGTGTTGAGGGGCTATCGTGGAACCCATCGTACAGCCGAAACGGTTCAGGTTAGTATGAAAGTATGGAGACCTCTACATATTTCTGTACACGTGGGACGCAGCAGGAGTCATACCAGTATTGGCATCACGTGCCCCCCCCGCCCCCACCACACTCAACTATTTCGCTTGCACAAGCCTTCGACACTATTCTCCGATCGTCCGTTTCTGTGTTTTTTTTTTTTTTTGTTCTTTCACTACAAAGAACGAAGAACGCAACAATTCCACCTCTCCCGAGAAGAGTTCGTGCTAGATCAGCAATGTAATTTTTGTGTTGTACGGCGACCAACTTACATTTCCCCAAGCAGCATTCAGTGATATCTCCCCTGTGGGTAACAGGCTCAAAAAGACAGTTTGGTGGCCATCCTTCGTATCCCCGCCTTCTGTGTCGGAGAACGAAGGTCAAAGATTCGTATACTTGCGTTGTTCGCATGCACTCGGGCTTTGCAGTCTCGCCTTCGTATGTCGGGGGCATATCCTGGCTGTCATCACGCTCGTTGCTTTGCTGCTGCCTGAGGCACGTACCGATGGGCTTACAGCAGGGTTATTGTAGTCAACGCCTCCGCAGTTGCTGTGTGCTGCCTGAGGCACGTATCGATGGACACGCAAGCAGGGCTTGCCAGCGCCACTGCCGTGCGTTTGTAACCGACCCGATATACCCCCGTTTTCAGGAGCCCGAAGGTCACGGGGCCCCCAAGACTCCAGGGCACTGGAAAACCATGTGGGCAAGCGACTGCGCCAGGCTGGAAGAGGCCCACCAAAGGGGGGATGCCGAAGTCTTGGTCTATGGCAGAAAATACGTCGTCGATATGAAGGTGCGGGGGAGCGCGACGTTAGTTAATTTATCGAAACGCGGCAGCAATTCGAACGGTAGAATCCGGTGTGCTGCTGTTTCGTGTGCCACCCGCAGCGGTTGCTTCCCAGCACCTGATGTTTGCATGGACGTTTGCCAGACGCTGGCAGTTGTTGCGTTCCTGATTTCTTCGCGCATCTCTATCTATACGGCGGTAAACTTTGAGAGTCTTCCTTACCAAGCAACAAGCATCTGGTCTCGAAAGGACGGGCTCCGTTTCGCGCATACCGCGGTTTTGGTGTTGTTTCATGCAGCGGGTGTGCTCTTCCAATTGTTATCTTCGCTCTATTAACGCTTTCGACTTCCGTCTTGTAATCCATACCCGGTCCACGGACGCCTTCCACATGCAACATCTGCTTCTCTGCGTTTTGCTTTTTCGCAATCGGTGGACCGTGTTCTTCTATTGTTATCCCCAACAGGAGCGGACGGTGAGGGCTTTGTACTGGGACGAAAAGCCCGCCGTGAAGCCGGTCATCCGGGCGACGTACTTCCTCGCGCAGGGCAGTGGCTGGCTACCCTACAGCGAGAAGGACGCGGAGCTGTTGGAGGTACGTATAACACCTGACCATGCTAGCATACCGGCCCCTTAGCCGTCAGGTTCGTGTGGGGTCCGCGTGAAGTTGCAGTTGCTGGGTGACAACCCCCCCTGTGTCGATGCCAAAGTTATGTGCCCCGAACACCTTTTTTTTTACCACGCCGTGATCGCGTTGGCAGTGGCAGCATTTCACTGCGTTGCCTTTTTGCGTAGGCTGCGGTCAGCGTTGGCAGTCCTCGAATTCGAAAGGCAAAAGCCAACAAAGTTATATACCGCCGCTCCACCCCTGTCGCGAGCTGCTGCTGCTGGAGTGATCCGATGCACCTGCAACCGTGTCTGACGTCTTGGCACATATGCCACCGTTGCCCTTCGGGTGGAGCTCGAATCCCTTCTGCGTTAACGGCAGTATACCGTGTCTACAAGAGCTTGAAGCGATTTCAGTTGGCGTCGAGCATTTACTACAGAATCAAACGTCATTTTAAACCTAACCCTAACCCTAACCCTAACCCTAAAACTACTGCGTACCACAGAGAAAAGCATTCGTGGCACGCAGTTCGCTGATTGGTTAAAAAAACTGCGGCGGAATTTCGAAAATTAAAAAAAAAACAGGCACGATGACCCAATATCCTTGTTTGGGGGTTCACATGCTGAGAGGTCACCTTGGAAAATGGAGACACGTTCGAGGCCATGGAGCCCTGCCGTCTATCTCGTACCCCGGGAGTGCATGGCGTCGCGACCAACCATGGCCGCTTCGTGTTTGAAAAAAAAAACGTACCGCATCCCGTGACGAGGGGCTCCGGGGCAAGTTTTAGTCCATGGTCACTGGGTCGATGTTCAAAGTGTTGGTTGTAAACTTCATCCGCGTACCCTTTTGTTGAGAAGCACGATGACCACTTGGGGACTACCAGCAAGCAGAGCCGAGGAACTACGCGCGCCCCACTGCCCAGCAAAGAGCTTGTCCTCAAAGGCGGGCCTCCTTTCGCCTTGGCGCAGTCGTGAATGACACCCGTTTTCATTCCATGCGCTCGTTACCGTCGCTGCGATAATGGATGGACAGGATGCCTATGCCGCTGCCAAGGTGCAGCTTAGGAGCAAGGCGTTTTCGGAGGCTGAGATCCCCCTCTCCGATGGGGAGAACAAGGTAACCTATAGTGTAGCGAGTGCCGTGGTACAGTCGCCACACTGATGTGCGGATATCGGACTGTGCGCTATTGAGCCAAGCGCTGCCCATGTCCTCGGATGCAATATGTTTCTAACGACTGTAGACGCACTATTAGTCCAAGCGCTGCCTATGTCCTTGGATGTATATCATTACATTCATCATCGACGAGTGCACTCTAATCGTTGTAATACCCGATGTTGGGTACGGCAGCAGTGCTGTGGCCGCGTCGCGAGACCGTGGAGAATCTGCAACACCTTTTCTAGCTTGTTTTTTTTTTTGTCTCCCATTATTGGACTCGTCGTCTACCCCTCTGGCCCCTATCCTCCACTTCTACCAGCTAGACGACCCAACCGGGGTCACAAAGGAGGGCGGGGCTGGACCCCTCCTGCGGTTCCTGCCTGAGATATTTTTATCGCGAGAAGGGTACAGCAATCCCTTCCCTCGCGACTAATGAAGTCGATCAAGTTTACTAACAACGAGCATTGCAGCGCGTCGCTTTCATCCTAGACCAGGATTTCTTTAGCGAGAAAAAAATCACTCTGCCGGGCGTCGAACCCATGACCTGGCCCTTGGCAGACTGCGAGGCTACCCACTAGACCATCGGGGCGACCGTGTACATGGGTTATTATTTTTCTCGATACATGTTGGAGGGTTTCCTGCCTGTGTCCGGGGCGTTCCTGGCTGTCGTGGGACATCTTTCTGCCGTCGATCTCTCGCACTCTTGTCAACTTGTCGTCAGAAGTCACTCACGTTTCCGCTCTTTTTCCTCGGTGTATTTTTGTGCGTTGTACCAATAAGTGCACCCATGTGCGTCTGGGCTGCAGTTCCTTGAACACCGTGGAAAGCGGCGTGTGATCTCTTATGAAGACCGCACAACGTGAGGTTTCCGTCACATTCGTATTTTGCTGTGCCGCTGTGGGCTTCCAAGAGGCCGGGCTGCATGTCCAACGACGGCAGTGTGTTTGTCGTACGATGGCATAGTATGATGGCGTACACTGTGCGCATCACGAGGCAGGGTTACGGCATCGCTGTGCACCTCCATGTAGCAGCAGCAGCAGTAGCAGCTCACCTACACCCACCTTAGCATGTGATATGGCGTAGACTATTTAACGAAACACTCCCCTCCTCCCCTAAGCCCAAGCACTACAAGCGTTATTATTCATCGCGAACCTTGCTTTTTTCGTAGTTGCGAAGTATCGTCGCCTACTCTTCTCTGCAAAACCAGGTGGTGATGACGAAGGTGAACGCGGGCGAATCCGTGGACGACTATTTCGCGGACTTCGACATCGAATTGGAACAAAAGTGGGTCACGGGGGAGGGGGAGAGGGGCTGCCAAATATACTTGTGCGTATCGGGTGGCATGTACAAGCAAGACGGAGCATCCAGGCCAGCTGCATTACCGCCGACAAGGCGAAGCGAGAAGAGACAGAAAAGCTGTTCATTGCAAAGGACACGGTGCGGTACCTTATTTTGTCGTTCACAGCAGTATCTGCGCAGCTGGTACTGCTGCGCACCCCCTGCCCCAATGACCGTGAAGCAACATCAATGTACGCTCCGGGCAGCCTCTGCTCCACGCCCAACTCAAGTACAGCGGTGAACGCCCCCCCCCACCCACCCACCCACCCCGCGCGCGCCTGTTTTGGCGGCCACACCTGGCTTTTTGTTCTTCGTTCGATATTGGCAGACCGGTGAAGGCACCGTCGATGTTGGTGTCCACGATTTACAAGACCGCCTTTCAGGTCCGACGGGGCACTCCAGAGGTGCGTCCGTTATGGTACCGTTGTTGCCGTTGTTGTGTTGTTGCTGTTGTTGCTGTTGTTGGTGTTCTGTCTCTCACCCTCGATAGCAGTGTGGTGGCATGTTGCAATTGGTTCCCGTCTGGCTGTGCCATGCACGCGAGAATCCCATCACGTGGGACGCGAGAGGAAAGACCCAAACTCACACAATCTGCCTGCCTCACGTGCCCATAGCTTCCCCCGTTGCACGCGACAAACTCATTTTTTTTTCACGCGCGTGGGATGTCGAGAACGACAACGAAAGGAAAAACCGCCATGTACATCAACAGCGTGCGAGAAACCAGTGGACGGAGTTTATGTTTCTTCCTGGTAGAAGAACAGCGCAAGGAATCAATGTCAATTTTCAGAGGAGAGTCAAGGATATATTAGCAATGAACCCACAAATGACAGCAGTAACTGCCGAATTTGTTTTCGACTGGCTGCAGGCGAGCGGTTGGGGCGGCATCTCAGCCACGGACGAGGACATACCGCTCGAGGGAGAACCCCCGAAGCACCTCGTGTTCGTGATACACGGTATCGGCGAATCGATGGTGAGTGACGTCATCGCTAGTTCGGTGGTGTCGGTTGGCGGTATGATGGCAGCCAACGTTGTCTGTCGTCTTCAAGGTGTGCTACTGTGGATTGGCGATATGGTGGCGGTCCACGTTGTCGTGTTTGAGGTGTGCTACGATAAGGAACGTGTGCTTGCACAACGCGCGTGACTGTTAGACCCTGGGGTTACCCCTATTTTGAGGCCAAAATGTGTCCCAAACCGGGTGAACTTTTCGCGGCAAATAGACTGCGCTTTTCCTTCTTGGACCAATAAAAACGTTCGGAATTTGAATCAAAATAAAAAGACACACGAACACACACGAACAGACTGGACAAATATGGTCAAGCGCGTTCACGCAGCAATGCGCGAGGTGGACACCCGTCACTGCGCTTACTGAGGCTGCTGGCACACACAAAAAGCCAGTACCCCACAGCCCGACCGGTCATAGATGGCGGACCCCACCGGTTCGACGGCGATCCCGCCCGCTTCGACGGCGGACCCGCCCGTTCTGTTGCCGAAAAATAGAAAAAGGGCAACGGGCAAACAGCAGGGCGGTTGTGAGAGCGGGAAAACAAAAAAAATGCGCGCTGCTGCTGCTCCTGCTGTATTTTCTCGCTCTCAACACCAAGTCTGTCGATGATAGCAGCTGCATGCAGCTTCGCCTGCCTCTCTTGGTATCGTCCTGCTTATGTTGGTTCTATCAACCTGTAGGACTCGGAGGCATACGAAGTAGTCGCACTAGAAGGGAACAGCAAAGCCAAAAACACACGAGGGCAAAGACACACACACACGCACGCACGCACCTTTTTCTTCAAATTAGCATTTCTCGTCTCGGCAACCTTTCCCCACGCCGACGCCGCCTCCAGCTCCCTCCTCGCTTGCTCTACCTCCATCCGGGTGCGGATGAGCTGGTCTTTCGCGGAAAGCAGCGGATTCCGGTTGTGCTGCTGTTGCTGCACCGCCATCACGCTTGCCGCTTGTGGACAAAAAATCTCAACCATCTCGCGCTGTTGATCTTGAAGCATTTTTTTCTCCAACCGCAAGTTTCCCAGCTGGGTCAGGACGATCGCCACCGCCTCTCCATCAGCAGCCCTCTGCTGCTGCCTCTGATGCTCCGAGGCCTGCTCGCGTGCGATCGCTGCTTGCGCCCGTTGCTCCGCCTCGATTCTACGTCGCTGCTCCTCCCCAAGCTCCTTCTTCAGATCGGCGCGCAGGACTCGCTCTCGCGCCAACAGTTGTCGCTCCTCTTCTGCGGCCTGCTCCGCCGATTTGCGGACTCGAGCCTCTCTACGCTTCGCCAACTGAGCTTTTTTGAGTTTCTCGAGGGTAGCAGCGGCCGTACGCTTCAGGGTAGGGTAGTCGGCCTTCTCGGCAGCCTTGCGTGCGCGCCCAGCCGTCGCTGCGTCCGCAAACGTGCATCCTTCTCTCTCGAGAAGAGAAGTCGTGAAGTTTTTGAAGTTTTTTTTTCGGACTTGACGCGACCCTTGTTTTTACCACCGCCCTTACAAGTAGCCATAGGAGGTGATCTGGTAATCAATGCAACTCGTCGGCTTCTAGGTCAATCGGGGATCGTTTTTTTTAGCTGTGTGCGCAGAAACCAGAGCTAGAGAAGTAGCGAAAGCGATTTTTGACCCTCGTCTCGGTATTCGCGCCAGCTGCGTCAACAGCCGAAATTTCCGTCGTTTCGGGATTTTTCAACCACCAAACGGAAATCGGCTTCGCTACTTCTCTAGCTATAGCATAATTACAGGTGATTGTAGATTGAGAAGAGCCATCTCCTCGCCGTCTTCGCGCATTTTTGATTGCCAGTTCCTTGTCTTTGCTCAAGTAAGTAGGACTGCTGTCTGTGCGCCCCCTTCAAACAAAAAAAAAACAAAATCTATTCGCAGCATGCCGTTTTTTGTTGCTCCGCAGGGGGTTAACCCCAGGGTCTAACTGTTGCGAATACTGCGGTCGTTTCAACTTCACACGAAGGGGTAGGTGTGTAAAATGCTCCAGTCTCAACATGCTTGCCGTTTGCGCTTTTTCGTAATGGGTGCCCCCCCTCCTCCCCCTAGCGCGATGTCACGGTGCCCTCTTCCACGAAGCGGTGTCAGGTTGAGGTGCGCGTGATGTCAGACGGGGTATGCACATTCTTGCACGTCCGGCTATCCGGAGATTCGCGCACCCGTGGGGCAAAGCAACGTCGTTTTTTGTCTGTTTCTTCGAAATGAGCGCCCCCAAGTACTACGAAGGTAAAGCTTAGCAAGAGTTTCACAAGGCTGCCCACAAGCCACCCTCGTCCTTGGATCACACGCCGTTTTCGTGCGGGGGCTCACATGCAGCCATCCCATGGCGCTAGGCGATGCGCCGCCTGCCTGCCTGCCTGCCTTCCTGCCTTGTCCGTGAAGCTAGACTGGTTTTGCAGGGAAATTGATGCCTGGGGTGTCTCTACGTTCATGCGTATAACTTGATACCCCTCCCGTGGTGGTCTCTCCCCTTTTTTTTTTCTCAGTGGTCCAGGAAGTCGAGCGCGATGGCCAGCTTGCGGGCAAGCATGGCCCCCATGCGGGACATGTCTGCGGAGTTCCTGAGGGACCTTAAGAAGGCCGCAAAGTTGGAAGAGGCCGCCACCGCCGCCGCCGCCGAATCTGCAGCCGCTGCCGAAAAGGACGACACGACGGTAGTGGAAGCAAAGGCGGGCGACGCGAAAGGCGTCGTCACGAAAGCGGAAGAGGGGTGCGAGGGAAAGGGGGAGGGGGCTGAGTCGAAAGACAGCGAGGAGGGGGGAAACGATGGGGACGAGGAGAGCGGGGGATACGTGGAGTTTTTGCCGGTGGAATGGTTTCATGAGGTAGAGTGGAAGATCGGCAGGGAGGGTGTTGACACTTCTGAGAAAAAAGCGGCGCAGCATAGTAGTCTTTTGGTTGATTTACGCTGCAGGCCGGTGTACCGAACGCTGTGCTGAGCTCGGCAACACCGATTTCTTTATCACGAAAGCGAAGGCAAGCGGCGCAAGAGACGCGGCGGGCAGGGGGGGCTGATGCTCCTCACCCTAGGGTGAGACTTACGAAGACGAAGCGGTTTGCGAGCGGGGCCAAGAGCACGAGTCAGATGGCACGGTTCATGTCTACATTCTAAGAGGCAGCGAGGTGCAAGCCATTTGCTGCTGTACATCACGGACATGACTCGGAGAGCAGTATTCAGAAGAGGCCGATGCACGGGTTCAATGTTTCAATGCGTGTGATGCTGCTCTTGTCACTGGTTGTTCGGGCGAGCTGTGCTCGGTTCCATCGCATGTTTCAGTTTGTTCCGAAAACTACTACCATGTTCCGCATTTTTTGGAACACCGGATATGGTGGTTCCTACAGTGTCCGGGCAAGCCTTGTTCAAAGCCGCTCGATTTACTTTTCATTTCCTTCGTGCGTTGCTTTCGGGCAGGTGCACGGAAATGAAGCGGCCGCCGAAGGGATGATCCAGGATATCACGTTCGACAGCATCCCCGGCTTTCGAGATTTCGCCAGCCAGGCCATCATGGACGTCATGTACTACCTGACTCCAGAGTGAGAAGAAAAAGTGTCGTGCTTGTGCGGTTCATGCTGTCGTCTGTTGTTGCTGATGTTGGTTGTGATGCTCTTGCTGTTGCTGTTGCTGTTGCTTTGGTGGCGCTGGTAGTGGCGGCGATGATGGTGATGGAAGTGCCCTCATGTGCGTGATTGGTGTCGTTGGTGTTGCTGTGGCTCTCGGTGGTAAGTGGTTGTCAAAAAGAATGCGGTCGTACGGCTGGTGCCTTTGGTGCTGCTGATTTTCTGTTGCTGGTGCTGTCGCTGTTTACTGTTGCTGTTGCTGTCCACTGTCGCTGGTGCTGTTACTGTTTACTGTTGCTGTTGCTGTTACTGTTGTTGTTACTGTTTACTGTTACTGTTTACTGTTACTGTTACTGTTGCTGTTGCTGTTACTGTTGATGTTACTGTTACTATTTACTGTTACTGTTGCTGTTGCTGTTACTGTTTATTGCTACTGTTTACTGTTACTGTTGCTGTTGCTGTTGCTGTTGCTGTTGCTGTTACTGTTGCTGTTACTGTTACTGTTGCTGTTACTGTTACTGTTGCTGTTACTGTTGCTGTTGTTGTTGCTGGTACTGTTTACTGTTGGTGCTACCGTTATAGTTGTTGCGGTAGTGGTTGTGAAAGTGATGCGCTCATGCGGCTCAGGCTGTTGCTGCCGCTGCTGCATTCTCGCGGTTGCTGTTCGTAGTTGGTGGCGTGGTTATTATATCAGCTGCGTTATGGACAGTAGGGAGTCGCAGGCCCTCACGCCATCATTCTCCAGTAATCGCCCACAAGGAACCCTTGCCTCCCCCCACCAATGCCCCCGCGAGTGCAGCGTGCAGGTGGCAATCCTGAAGGTGGTCGGGGAGCAGATGAATGAAATGTGGAAGAATTTCTGCCGGTTTACCCCCGACTTCTCCGGCAAGGTGCGTGTGCCTTTCTCTTCCTTGCCGCTTGTTTTTATGTTGTTGCCGACGGGACGAGGCTGCTGCTGCTACAGTAGAACGTATGATTGATTCCACGTGAAATCAATTACTTCGTCGTGTTGGGCAGCAGTACGCACGTCTGGCCATGTGTCATCGGCGGAGCAAGAGGAGCAGCAATGCGTTGTGTGTGTTTTGAGAAGGTACAGTACTACCTTGTTTGGTGCATACCTCTCTCGGCATTTTGCTTCCGTAAGCCACGACGTTGTCCTGGCGAGGTTGTGCTTTGTGGTTTTCTTCACGCTGCTTGTCATATGGTAGATGCCTGTAGGCACATGTGGCCACGACTTTGGGCTACGCGGCCCGTTGTAGTCTTCGCTTGCTTTTTGTAGCGCTCTCGTTCTCTCTCTCTCTCGCTCGCTCGCTCTCTGCCCCCCTCCGCCCCCCGTCTCTCTCTGTGTTCCTCTGTCACTGTCTCTGTCTTTCGGTCTGTTCCCTCCTTCTCTCTATCGTCTGTCTGTCTCTAGTAGACCATCCGTGTGTCCAGCCGAACATCTCTACAGTTGTATTAGTCAGTGTTTTTATTTTCTCGTGCTGCCGCTCGCGGACGTACGGGATTCCCTCGCCAAGGTGTCTGTAATTGGACACAGCCTCGGCAGCATCATCGCACACGATATCCTGATGGCGCAGCCGGTGAAGGGGGAGACGCAGATCGCCGAGGATGCTGTCGCGAAGGACATACCTCTCTTGAGGTGACCCATCACCGGTGTCCCGCAGCTCTTGGTCGTTTTCCGACTTGCGGAGTCAGCCGTGCCGGGGTTGTAAGGCACCAGTTTGCCGATGAGGAAAAGGGTGCATGAATGGCGATCAAGCACAACACAGGTCACCACAGCTGATAGCGTTGTTAGCGTGTGACCCCCGGCAATGAAGAAACATGCGAAAGAAACAGGAGAGGTTTGCGAGTACAATAGTGAACAAACTTGGGTACCACCGAGGGCTGTGGCGGTAGAAACTCTCTAGGTCGATCAACGATTCGATGATCGCGGCGCGCCCATCGAATCATTGCTCTGTGTCGAGAGGTTCTAGCGCCACAGCTTTCGGCGTTTCCCCCAAGTTTTGCTCTACTGTACTCGCGTGCGTTTCCTGTTTTTGTAGCATGTTTTCGCAGTGCTGGTGGTCACCATTGACGCGGGTGGCGTGCTTTTGATCTCCTCAGGCCTATGGATATGGTCGTTTATCCCCTGTGTGGTATTTCTTCGCACCATCATTGTTGGATAGTTCGTTTCTTTGCGTGGGAGAGTACGGAAGAAGCACGCTCGTTTTCTTCCACGTCAATGAAAATAGCTGGTGATGCAGCCGTGGCTTGCAAATTTTGCGTCTGGCTTGTTGCCTTTTGTTTTGGGCTTGTTCTCCATGGTTGCGCGGCTGAATGCCAGCCTCTAATCCCTGCTGTTTTGGTGCCCTTTCGGCTATTGTGTGCTGTTGCCCAGCTTCCATCCCAAGCCGCTTCGCCTGTTCAATTTTTATGTGTGCTGTACTGGTACGCGCGACGTTTGTCGTCAGTTTCGAGGGTGCAATAAGAAAGGTGAAAGCGACACCTTCCTATCCGAGAGGTAGAATGAATCGCTTGGGGCAAATACTCACTCTGAATGGATCTTCGATTTTCACTTGATTTCAGAGTACCAGTTTACCCCGTCAAGGACCCTCGTTAGGTACGACATAGGTGCGCAAGACACATTTCGTCGTGCATCCTTGCTCATTGGCATGCAAATTCGCGATTCGTTTGCGTGTTTTGTCATCTTTTTTTCCTCGGGTGTGCGTTCTTCAGCTTCTACCCGGAGGTCCTTCTAGCTTGCGGGTCACCGATCGGGATGTTCCTCGCTCTCCGACAGTCCACCGTCAACAAGAAGAGGCTCTTCAAGTTCCACACCACTAACCGGTTCTTCAACCTCAACCATGTGAGAAAAAGAACATTATTCGGGATCCCTACCTGATCACCGACAGAGGTAGCGGGGGGTGTCTCTTCTTTCGGGGGGCAGCCACGTTTCGGCTGAAGAAGGGCTGAGTCACCGAATGCGCGGAGCATCAGAGTATCAAATAATTTTCTCGTGTGTGGCAGGAAAAATGTTGGTCGTGTCTTCCGCCGAGTCATGCTGCGAATTTGCAGGTACGTGCCACCTGATGATTGTCAAGGTATTGTTTGACGGAACTCAGAGTCACACGTGTTACTGTCTGTGGTCTCAAGCTTACATCACAGTGCAGGCACCGAGTGTCACCAATCTCGCCTCTCACGGAACTCATGGTCGCTAGGTCGATGTGTCTACATCGTTCGACGCCTAAAGCAGTACCCTAATTTGCTGTGAGCGCTGATTTGAAATCAAGACAAGGATATTAAGAAGTGAACCCCCCCCCCCGCGTTCCTGAATCTACACCGATTTCTCTGTCCTTACTCTATATCATTGGGTGCCCTGTGGATTGGGGGCCCTCTATGCGTTTTTTTTTTCTCGGACCAGCTTTACGACCCTGTCGCTTACAGGCTGGAGCCGCTGCTGGACAAGCGGCTCCGCGACCTTCAGCCCTTGCACGTGAGTGTGTGTGCCGAGAACGCCCCCACCGCGAGCGGCAATTTTATGAATCGATAAAAAAAAATTCTGCTTTCTTTCTGCACGAGCAAGGCTGGCCGCGGTTCTTGGTTCGTCATTTGTTTGGACCCACTGCAAACGCTTCGGAACCTAAACTCCGAACTTTGTCGGTGGTGCCACGATGTTGATGTCATCCTCGTGGTCATGGAAACAGTCAACTACGTAGTGCAGGGTCTTTCTTGCGTGGGGATTTTTGACGTTCCTACGAGATTGATGAGGGAAGGCTCGTGCGTCCATTCTTCCACACTCCAATGATAGGTATGTTTTTTTTGCGATGAGGACGGCATGCACGTACCTTGTCCAAGACAAAGGTTGAAGTGTTGAAGATTTTCCTAGTCGGAGGCTTCTCTTTTACCCCGACGTTTGCATGAACAGGTTTTCGGTGTTGGATATCTTTCAACAAAACAAACTTCATGATGTATGGAAAGCTATAACTCACGTTGGTTTCCTGCACAATTTCGCAGGGAGGCGAGTTGCACCGGAATGTATTACGCAAGACTTGTGCCTTTAACTGTCACCGAAATTCATTTCCGCCTACCGTGAATACATACCGTACTAGGCAGTGAACAAACGAGTCAACAGCGTTGAAAGGGGCGTGCAATGAAATGGAACCAGACAGCAATGTCGTGTTGTGCTGTGGAATGAACCGACGAAATTTATTCCCAATAGCCGGTAGTACTCTTCGGAATAGTCAGTGAAAAATTGAATCAACAGCGGCACGCGTAATGGCATTTACCAGACAGCAAGGTCGTGTTGTGTGCTCATACAACCGCTACCGAAATTCATTCCGCAAGCGGTGAGTACTCCCGTATTAGGTAGTGAAGGAATGAAACACCAACAGCGGTGGTAAGGACGGGTAGTGGAATGTATCAGGCAGCAAGGTTTGTGTTTTTTTTCCCTGGGCTTCCCTCTTGACCAGGTGCCACACCGGGGCGGCGACCGCATCCACGTTTCGGTGAAAAAGTTCAACAGAGGCGTTAACGCGGCCATCGGTCGGATGACCAAGTCCACCGGAAAGGGGTGGAACATCATCCAGAGCAGCATCAACACAACCATCGTAAGCTGTAGCTTGTGATTGCCCCCTCGGCTGCCCTGACAACTGCTCCAATGATGGCAGCAGCAGCTCGTGCTTGTTGCTTCCGTTCTGTCTTGCAATCAATGGATCACCGCTTTTCATCGCGTAGCGTCGTTTCCGTTTTTTGTTTATAGATACGCTTAGATTTCACGACCACTGAAATATCCCCCCGTCGACAAAGTCAAAGTCATGTGTTCAAATATTTCGAATGAAAGGTGGTTTATGCAGCGACTGGCCATGCGGCAGGAGTAGTGTTCCGTGCAGCGGTTTGTCACGCCGGAAAAGGAGGGTAACTTCGACACGATCGAGGATAAGACGGAGGTTCCCGCCAGCCTCTGGGAGGCATGTCGGCCATCGCCTCTGTCCACGTTTGCTAATTTGACCGTCTGCTCTCGAGGTGCTGTCGGCGTCGCCAGCTCTGAGGCATCTACCGAGGTCGAAAGTCGTTGATGAGCGAAGCGGCTCGTGTTTCAGAATCTAGGCACATGCTGTTCCCACCAGCTCGCTGCGCTTCTCGCGCTTCCTGTGCTGTACATCTCACGACCGTCCCGCACCCCCTGCCGTGTGTTTGTGAAATCTGGATCCAGAAATCCGCCATTGGAGACCCAGGGACGACCGATGACGAAAAGCCCATTGCGTCCGAAGAGGTGAAGAATGAAGTCACCCCAACAATGATGTGTTGTTCCCTCAATTTCTTGGTGTTTCTCTGTTGCACCGGACTGCGTAAGTGATGAATGACACACTTTGTCATAAGGTTCCTATGCAAGTTCATTTTTGGATTTCACAATTGTGGATGTCCGTTCTTCTGCTCCCTATGCATACCAGTTGTCGCGTCTTTGCTCATTCTTAGTTGTTTATATGGATGGTTTTTGGGTGCCTCCCCCCCCCCTGATCGGTTGATAGATCCGGTAAGTACGTGGCATTTGTGTCCAGACGGCGGTTATCATCCCAGGAGGTATTGTACGCTTGGTGAGTTAGTTCCTCCTGAACTAGGGTCAGAGGATCTCCTTTGTTCCTTGGCTAGGGAACAGTGTTCTAGGGAACAATGTTCTAGGGGACAATGTTCTAGGGGACAATGTTCTAGGGAACAATGTTCCCTCCCCTCTGTTCGATCGATCAAGAAACCGCGTATTTCCGGGCAGGTTAGCTGCATTTGCGTATGATATGCTGGATATACGGGCAGCAGTGGCTGACACAGGCGGCGGCTGGGGAACGAGGCACGCTTGGCGAACCGCTATGAAAAGAACCAGGCACTGCTGTACGGTCGGGGATGTCTTGTCTCGGTGCCACCGATGGTCGACCGGCTGAGCGCATTCCCCGTTCGCCAACATGACTGATTCACCCTGTTGTACCGTGTCGCCTGAGTCGGCGAAAACCCGGCAATATCGCTCCGCCACGGTATTGTGGGGATGCGAGGTCAATGGCCTAACGACTGTGCCATGCGTTTACACGAGTTCCCCACATTCGTGTGCGGTGCCCCCAAAGGTCATCGATGCCGAGGACAAGCTTGACGAACGCATTGACTGGGTGATCCAGGAGTCCACCCTGGAGGGGATGCACCCCTGGGCGAGCGCGGTGTTCGCCCACAGCAGCTACTTCACCAATTTCGACATGGTGATGTTCCTCGTCAACCGGCTCAACGAGGGCCTGGAGGGGGAGGGAGAAGAAGGAGGCTCCAAGGAGAGTGAGGAGGGGACAAAAACAGACGAGGGGTCAGAGGCAGAGGAGAAGAATGAAGAGGGATCAACGAGAGAGGAGAAGAAAGTACTGGAGTTGGTCGCGTGACGTGAGGAATGTTCTACATATTTTTTGCTTAACCGGGATCGGTGACCCCCTCTTATCTCCAAAAGACGCCATGATTTCCAGTGTTTCTCGTGTTGTGAGTCTGACGATATCCCGCGTTGTCGTGTGAGTACCGGTATGCAGTGTTACTCGATTTTTGCGAAGGGGGCAAGGCGAAAGGAGCTGGGCTGGGGGCGCAGGGAGGGTTCTTGTGTATTCGATGGTGCTGGGTTTTGGTTGCTGCCAAAGCACAAACAAATATCTTCAAAGTATTAGTCTATTTGGTTGTTTGTTATCGTGTCTCGGAGTATCTTGTCACTCGGTTGACCGTTCGCGCCCATGTAGGCGTAGTTGTAGTCCACCAGGCACTGGCACTGCGTTCGAGTCCCTGGGCGTTTCGTATTTCAATATCCATGTGCTCGTTCGGGATCCGCATATTCGGGAATGAAGAGACACGCAGTCTTGATTCGCTGTTTTTTTGTTTTCTTAAGGCGGTGTGAGCGCGCACAGTACACTATTCGTAAAGAGTGTCGCGAGACGCGCTTGGGCGAGGAGACGCGCTTGGGCGTCTCGATGGTTTTTCCGTACGGGAGCACGCCGTCGAACTGGACACGAATCAGCCCACGATCCAGCCAATCACTCGGCCCCCCCGTTCATTTAGCTTTCCTGAAACGGGGCTCTGTCTCGACCCACTTAGTTTTGAGTTTCGTGTGGCTTTTTGGATTTCTTGCACTGGTTGGCGAACAGTGCCCACAGCGTATTCAATATAGGGATCGTCTCGCGAGAGATGTGCCGATATTTTCGTTCTTGCACCTATCAGGGGTTGGGTACACGGCATTCTTGCCCCCCCCCCCCGGTGTTTGACATCGGGGTTGGGTTTTCGTCGCTTGGCAACGACGTTGTAAAACAAGCCAATTCACTTCGTGAGCTCGGCAACCAGGTTACCGTTTTTTTTTTTACGTCCGTTTTTTTTTTTTGGGCGGTAACCATGATGGTGGTCGAGTAGATCATGTTGTGCGGGGT